TTTTTTCAACAGTGTTCGAAGTTAATGAGTAACCAAATAGTTACACATCAATGTCCCTAACTTATGAAGATTAAGGATAAAGAACACCGGTAGAATAGACTATACTCCCTCTTCCACGATTGTGCAAGTCAAATTCACAAGAAATTCTCTATTTTTTCAACTCTTCATTTTGGTTGTTCAAGAAGTGAAATCAATAGTAACACGTGAGTTTGTGTCCACAAACAATGTCATGAACTCTATTTAAAAAGTCTTCATATGACAAACTCCCCAAATGCATAAAGTTCATATTTGTCTGTCCATTTTTATAAACATTCTCATCCCAAAATCCGTTGTGAACAATTCGAACTTTTTCACACGACATCTGTTAAAAAAGATATAATAGTATTTTACTGACAAAACAATGTAAAAAAACATTAATGTTTAGATAATCAATGTCTTATATAGTAAAACAAATAAATTTTGAATCGCAAACGATTTATGGAATCACAGAAACGATTTATATGATTCAAAAACCGTTTCTGGGATCCCAAAAACTATTTTGGGGATCCAAAAATGATTTCTGAGATATTTCAATGGTTTATGGGGATCCCAGAAACGATTTCTGGTTCCTCAAATTAAATTTGAAGTTCATTACCACAAAATACATAAAAAAATCCGAATTCTGAAAAAAATACAATTCTACAACAAAATCAAATTTTTTTGAAAAAAACCATGACTAAACTAGCCTTATTTGTTGGTTTTGAGGTAGAGGAAGATGGTTTTTTGGATCGAGAAATAGATTTAGAGCCCGCCATTTGTTGTTTGACGGAGATGGAGTGATATGAACGAAACAAACCAAACTTGACGGAGACGGCGAGTTGTGATTGGGGAAAAATTGTTTTGGACAATTTTGGGCAAGTCGGCGTAAGAGAATTCCGATGTAAATTTTAGGCCAGTCACATGCGACAAAGATGGTGAGGTTGTACAGAAGGAAAAGCCGATAAGGGGCGAGACTCGAGGACGGGTTATGTCCTTTTCAAAATTTTTATGATTTATCAATTAAATTAATAGTTAATAATAATTGCAAATATATGTAGGTAGTTGAGAGAAAAGAAAAAAATTGTTTTTGGATGTGAAAAGGCAAAAAAACAATTTATGCACTAAACATGGAGATGATATGTGGATTAAGGATTCAATAGCAAAATGCTCCTATGCTTTTCTTTTGCAACAACTTAAAAAACCTGTTTTATTTTTTTTATTTATTATTATTACTATTATTATTTTTTGAACTTGTTAAAAATCTTAAAACTCAATGACCCAAGGCTAAGAGCAGAGTTGAAAATATACGCAATAAAAGGACTAGAAACAAGAATTCCGAAAAAGTTGGGGGATTGTAAAAAAAAGTTCACCATCCCCACACCTTTATCCGCAACGCCCACCATCTGCACATCCACTCCAAAATTATAAGTCCCCTTTTAAACCCTAGTAAAATTCACAAAACCCCCGGTTCAAAATCCAACCACCTCTCCGCGCTATCCCAGCTAGCTGCACAACCCGGTTGTCGCCGCCGTCCAAATCACACCGTCGGCTTATTCCTCAGTCGTCTAGTCCAAATCCATCCCATCGTCATCGCCTTCCAAATCCCGCCAACCTGAAACAGAGCTTCCTCTCGTTCGAAAAAAAAAAAAGAAACCGAGCTTCCTCTCCACTCAAAATGTCCGATATATCCCCTGAATCCATCGTCATCCAGCTCCCCGAAGAGCATCCCCGGCTACCGCTCGACATAGCTGAGAACATCCTCTGCCGCCTTCCGGTGAAGACCCTCAAGCGCTTCCGTGCCGTGGACAAATCGTGGCGTGCGCTGATCGACAGCGAGAGCTTCGCCAAGGCGCACTTTCACAGCTCTCTGGCTTCCAATTCCAACCGGAACATCATTAGCTGCATATTCGGCTTCCACGCAATGAACATCGAGTTTCTCAGCACCCCGACAGACATGGAGCCACCGTTCGAGTACAACAACAAGGACGTCGACTCAATGTCGAGATCGGTCAACGGTCTCGTTGTGGTGACGAGAGAGACCGAGCCTCCGATTCTGTGAACGTCTTCGCCAGAGAGCACAAGGTTCTCCCCAAATGCCCGGTTAAATTGGCACCCAGATTGGCCAATGCCTGCGAGAACATGTACGGCTTCGCCTACGATGAGGAGAATGACGACTATAAGGTCGTCAAAGTTATGTGGCACAAAAAACGGCCCTTGTCTGAGGAGTGGGTCTACAGCCTGAAATTGGATTCATGGAGGAAAACCAAGGCCATGAAATACCAGATGGGACATTGGCCCGTCCCCTTTAGAGGCGCTCTGCATGCACTTGCTGGCAACGATGATGTGAAGCTGATGGGTTTCAACATCGTGACGGAGACGAATTTCGAGCTGCCGTTGCCCAAGCTCGATCACGATATCGAGCGTCCTCATTTGACGCTCGAGCTATTCGACGGCACGATGTTAGCTCTGGCATGTGTGTATGCGTCAGAGGTTGTCATCTGGGTGATGAGGGAATACGGGGTGGCAGAGTCGTGGCAGGTGATATTCTCCATGCCGAACACGCAAGGGCCCATGTGGCCTCTTGCTCTCTCAAAGGATGGGGAGAAGATACTCTTCAATTATCGGGGCACACACTTTGCCTATTTTGGCTTGAGGGAGCATAGCGTGCAGGACATTGCCTTGCCATATATTGTGTGGCCGAGACTTATAGTGGAGACGTTGATTTCACCGCATTTCTGGGACAAGAGGAAAGCGGTGGAAGAAAGCTCTACTAAGGAGCAGAAGAAGAATGGGGGAAAGGGGAGCAAGGGCAGGAAGAAGAAAGAGAGCAAGACGAAGGGGAGTAAGGTCAACATTTTGTCATTTTTTATCTTCTTAGTTGTGCTAATATGTAATACTAATAGTGTGTTCATGTATTAGGTTCGTATCTGGTTCATACTATATATGAATTAATAGTTCTCCTTTTTATTTTGCAGGATGACCATGACCTCTCAGCTGCGTTCAACTCGGTTCTTTGAAATCCATGAGGTGCTTATGTTCTTGTCTATGCCTAGTTTTTTTGTGCCTCTCTTCTTTCAGAAAGCTGGTTGTGAATCTTAAGTAAAAACGAAAATGTTAATTTGATGCTGGGAATTTATTTTTTGGTGTAGTCGTGTAAATTTTCCTAGTATATTACTTACAGGATGGTCTCAGTTAATGAAATGGTTTCAGGTGTTGTGTTGTCACCGATTTGCATTATTTGGCTTTTGTTTATCTGCTGATAGCTCACAGTGTTGCACCCTGTACCAACTTCTCTACTTGTAGCAGCATGAATGTTTCGGTAGAACTAGTTAGTAATACAGACTAGAATATTATCTCTCACTAGTATTCAAGTTAGCATTAGTAACTAAAGTGATTCAAAAATTGTGATTTATAAAGTTTATTTGAGTGATCTGCAGATTGTCAATTATGAAGAGACATGAGATGCATATAGTCTGATCCTACTGGGGAAAACTATCTGGTTTTATGTATGTATAGATGTTATGATCGAATGAATAACTATAACGTCTGGAATTACAAAAATTTCTCTCCTTCTCTGTTATTCCCTTTTCTTTTTCTTTTGTGTTTTTATCATCCTTTGTTGGTTAGTTTGCTGGTTCTATAACTGATCTAAATCCATGAGGTGCTTATGTTCTTGTCTATGCCTAGTTTTCTGTGCCTCTCTTCTTTCAGAAATCTGGTTGTGAATCTTAAATAAAACCGAAAATGCTAATTTGATGCTGGGAATTTATTTTTTGGTGTAGTCGTGTAAAGTCTCCTAGTATATTACTTACAGGATGGTCTCTGAGAATGTAATGGTTTCAAGTGTTGTGCTGTCACTGATTTGCATTATTTGGCTTTTGTTTATCTTCTTATAGCTCACAGCATTGCACCCTGTACCAACTCCTCTACACTTGTAGCAGCATGAATGTTTCGGTAGAACTAGTTAGTAATACAGACTAGAATACCATCCCTCACTAGTATTCGAGTTAGCATTAGTAACTAAAGTGTGATTCAAAAATTGCGATAAGTTATAAAGGTTATTTGAGTGATCTGCAAAATGTCAATTATTAAGAGACATGAGATGGAGATAGTCTGATCCTGAGCGAATGAATAACTATAACGTCTCGAATTACAAAAAGTTCTTTCCTTCGTCTGTTATGCCCTTTTCTATTTATTTTACTTTTTTATCATCTATTGTTGGTTAGTTTGGTGGTTCATGTGTTTATGTAGCTAACTGACTATAGGGAGAAATTTTGTCTAAATCACAGGGGAATGGAGAAAGAAGGCTGATTTTTCGTTAGAGTTCACAGGGGAAGATTCAAACTGTTGGGTTGTGTAGTTGAAGATTTTTTGATCCCAGTAGGCTGAATGAAGTACTCGGAGTTGTTGGCCATGAGAGCTAGGGCTCAAATGGATGCGGTTTTTGTGTACAATCTTGTTAAAAAGTGGGCACTCTTCTTTTGTTTGTTTTGGATTCAGATTTGAAGCTTCATTTTCCTTTTTTTGCTTTGGAGCTTGCATTATTTAAGGATATTTTTATGGCCAGTCTCAGACACAACGAACTTTCATTCCCTATATTACCAATCGTTAATTGAAATTTCGGTTTCGCAAGAAATGAATCCGTCAACTGAACCAGGATTGGTTTCAAACCATTTTACTTTTTATTTTTTCGATTGGATCGATTCAACTATAGATTAATTTTAACCATAAAAATATTGAAAAAGCATAAATAAAAGATCAACGGAAATAACTACTGGGTCCATTAGCAATAACATTTTGATTTACTGATCCTCAAACTACAATGCAGACATGTGTGATGTTTAGGGCATTTTTCGTTACAAATGAATTCGCTCAAAAATGAGTTTTTTTTATTAATCAGGATTGATTTTGAAAGAGTTGGACAAATAAATTCGCTCAAAATGGGTTTTTTCGATTAACTACTGTTAATTTTGAAAAAGTTGAATGATTAGTTGTTAGTGAGATTTTGATTTTATATTAAAATAATATTTAAAATAAATTATTTAAAGTTGATTTGATGTAAAAGTAAGAATAAATGATGTGAAGTGAGAGTTAAAAGAATGGGAAATTTTTATTTATGCTATGTGATTTTAAATTAATTGCAACTTTACCATAGAAGTTGAAATAATTATGTTTATACCTAAAAGACCTTATTTATCTATATTAATGCCTAAAGTCAGTTACCATATCCTTCCCACCTCCATCCCCCTTTTTATGGGCATGATTAAGAGAGAGAAAATAACTGACTCGTTTAATTCCTTAATTCGCGCAACTTGAATTCCTTAATTCACACAGCTGTCAAGTGGTATATATTGGGTTTATGTTAGTATATTTTCAGTATATGTTGCAATGAAAAACATGTTTTCTATCAAAAAATTATGTCTTCCTATTTTTTCGAAAAGAAAGAAACACACGCCGCCGAGCAGAATTTTTTCGAAAATCAGTCGACCGACGGTCTTCATTCAGAATTTTTACGTGATCTCGAGTGTATATCTTAGGTATATTTTATGTATATGTGGGTTCTAAAATCGATTTTGAGAAACGATTGAAACTCGAGTGTATATTTAAAGTATATTTTATATATATGTGGTGTCGCGGATTTGAATTACGTGAATCTCGAGTGTGTATTTTATGCATATTTTATGTATATTCTATGTATATTTTATGTATATGTGTGTTGTACAACTTTGGTATATACCCGCAACGTGTAAATTTTCATATCTGATGGTAACATGTAAATCATGTACAGAATTTTCATACCCGAAACATACATATTGTCACACCGAAACATATACTGAAAATATACTATATATACCCACAGCATATACCCGCAATATGTACAGAATAGAACTATCTATCAACAAATCAAGCACACCAAGTGTTCGACAATTACCCTCTGAGAAGATTTTCGTCAAAACAGATAGGAAAAATTATATATTTAACATATACTGTACATATACTCATCATATACTGTACATATAACACAATACAACACAACCGTAACCAGGTAAATTCGTCTAAAATTAATAGCAAACTACATGGAGATATGGCTTGATTTCATGATCCCCAAGCCATTTCCGAAGCTCGAAATCGCAAGACCAATCGATTTTCAATCGTACAAGAAAACAAAAAATCCAAAAAACCGTAACCGGGTAAATTTGTTTGAGATAGCCTCCGAGCAGCCCATCGCGAACACTTTTCTCCCGTTGACGAGACCACCGGCGATGGCCCCGCATACGAACAGCACCGCGCCGGAGAGCCGTTCGAGATGCCACAAGTCTCAGCCGCACCAGGTCGAGGAAAGTCGCGATCCGCTGCAGCCCTAGCGTCGGCGATCGATCTCCAGCCGTCGCAGCCGCGAAGAAACGACAGCACCTTGACGGGGAGGCAGAACGCCACCTCTCTGACACCACCCCAAATCGCCGCCCCCTGAGCCGACGACGCCCATTCCCATCGCCGTCAATAGCCAATTTCGGCCAGGGGTAATTGAGTAGTTGAAAATGGAAGAAAATTAAAAGGGGAATTTTTAGAAGTAAATTTGCAGTGAAGAGGGTGAATTTGAAGAAGAAGAAGAAGAAGAAGAAGAAGAAATGGAGATCTGCGAAGGAGGAGAAGTAAAGGAAGAGGAAAGAAAAGTGACGGGAAATAAGAAGAAAAGAAAGAGGAGGAGGAAAAGAAAAAGGGAAAAAAAAAGAAAAATGTATTAATTATCTCAATTAATTCATAATTGATTCATTTTCCATATTTAAATTTTAAATTAATACACTTATAAAATCTGGTATATGTGCAAATATGTTGGAATGATTTTGTATTTTTGCAAATAAATATTAATTAGATGTAAGTATGTAATATAAAATATATATGATTGTATGAAGTGTAAATTCCTCTAAAAGAATTATATGCGTTGATGAATATTGAATTAAAGTTGATGTGATGTATAAGAATGATTAGTTTGTATTATTTAATTATATTGATAATATAAAAAATAGTGAGATTGTGTTAAAGTTAAGTTAAATTTTGAATATGAATTAAATGTGAATAAATTATTTTGTAAACAGACATGCTGTTACTGTTGTTATTTAGTTCTCAAGATTAGTCAACCTACCCGGACCAGATAAATAAGACTTTGAATAGACTGGACATATTATCGACTATTCCTTTAAATGATTCTGCCGCTACATCATTTCTTTTTATATATTGGGAAGTTACGTCCTATGCAATTTTAACGGAACCTTCTAGGCTCATTTCGAATAGTAAAATGAACCCCTCCTTCTCAAGGCCCAATGTTTCTCTGAAAATTCTCATGAAAGAAGCTCAATCATAGGTATGGATTTCTCGATTTTTAAAATCTAGAGTGTCTAGATTCAACATTAATCCATAAGGATAAATGGGGTCCAACTACGATTTCTCGTATGGAGTCTTTTGAAGGTTTAGTCTTCGGGAACGCATTCTGGTACTCGCAAGATGCTCATTTTTGACTTTTACATAAAAGTCTCCTCTATGTGGTATCTGTTCATTGGGTTTTTTGAGAACCTGAACTTTCTCTTTCTTGGGAAGGTTGAGTTCTAGTTATTATCTACGAACTATCTCCCGTGTTCATATTTAAGACTACTAGACTCAATCCTGCGAAGGATTCTACAAGGTATGTCGTATAGTGCATACACTTTGGACAATTTCATTATCCATTATTAAAAATTTCTCCTTCTAAATTTGATTACCATATAATAAAACCTTAGCTCTGATACCATCTACGATATATATATATAATCATGTTTACAATGGCCAATTAAAATTTAATCATTTTTTTCAATTAATCTATTATATAATAGTTATTACTAAAACTAACTAATTATATTTCACACTAAATCAGATATGGAAGTTCAATAAGTATAAAATATTATATTACAAAATTTATTCTTAAACTATTTATTGCTCTTAAGCATTTTCTTAATAAGATAATGATTTTAGTGGTATAATCAAACCTCTTAACATTTAATAATAATAATAATAATAATAATAATAATAATAATAATAATAATAATAATAATAATAATAAGTTTTAAGATAATTCATAGGTGATGATCTATCAGATTATAAAACCTACATTATCCATTTCATTTTATGTAATAATAATAATAATAATAATAATAATAATAATAATAATAATAATAATAATAATAATAATAAGTTTTAAGATAATTCATAGGTGATGATCTATCAGATTATAAAACCTACATTATCCATTTCATTTTATGCAACCAATACAGTGATGAAGTAAAATACTTTTATAATGTTCATTTTTATTACTAATGATGAAATTTTTAAAATGTGATAATATTATCGAACTTATAACTTTAATATTATGTACATACATATAACTTATAATATTTGAACATTTGTACATGTGAACAAGATCGGATACTAGTTTCTTTTTTACAATCATAAATAATTTTTAATTGACATAAAATTTAATAAATATTGCACATAGCAATTAAGGGCTTGCTCTGTTGCTCATCACAAAATATTGCACATAGCAATTACGGGTGGCATGAACTTTTTCGGCACCATCTCCTCTTACCTCGTCCCTAAATACAACCCAGCAGCCCCCGACAGACATATATTCAACAGATCCTTGGATACTTCTTCCCAGAGCCGGCTTTTGGGGGGAGCAGGGTGAGCAACTGTACAGGGCCCCTAATTAATTGGGGCCCCATATATAAATATTAAAATATTATATATATATATAATAATATAAATAAAAAATATAATAATATATTAAATGACATTCATGTTAGAACATTAATCTTGTTTTTGTTGTATTTTGTGGGTACGAGGACATCTTGTTTTAGTTGTATCGTTAAATATTTGTATTTTATTAATAAAATATTAAAAATATATTATTCAATATTGTAATTAGGGGGGCCTAATTTTATTTTTCGCTCTGGGCCCAAAAAATGTTGGAGACGGCCCTGCTTCTTCCTCCTTTTACTCGGAAGGGATGGCGAATTTGTTTATTCCTTTTCCTCCGACGAGGGAACCTCTACCCAAGTTTGATATGCCACCATCAAAAGTGCGCCAGCCACCGCCTCCTCGACGGCCGGGTGAAGAAGAATGGAATACGGAGGTTGCACCGTTCAAATTCCTGGTTCCACCAGTTGACCAGGTTATGGTTCCACCAGTTGACCAGGTTAGGTTAGATTACATATATATATAGAATCTCTATTCGTTCTATCAATTTGTATTATATTTCCATATAGATTGTTTAGGTTAAAAGTTATCCCATTTTTGTGTTTTCATCTGTTAATGAAACATTGGATGAATAATATGCAGATTATCCGTGGGAAAACAATCATCCGCACTTTCTACCGGAGGAGGTGTAAAAGAAAGAGGGTAACAGACATAGAATCTCTACCTGATGAGCTGTTATTTGAAGTCCTTGTGCGCCAGCAAGACATTTACGAGGCAAGACTTGTTTGCCGCAAATGGTACCATATCATCGACACTCGTAATTTCATCTCCGCCTACTTACACCACTCCCCTTATGGTTTCCTCTTCAAATCCTTGCTTTGGGAGTCACTTTTAATCCTCCCTCAAAGGGGAAATGGAGTCGGGGTCGAGATGAGCCAGTTGAGGTACAAACGTAGGTGTGGTGTGTGGTCACTAGTAGTTGTAATGGATTGTGGTTAGAGACCAAGGTTTTCAAAATCGAGATTCTAAGTAGAATCGTTTTGGGTGCAGAATCAGAATCGTAGAATCGGAATCGTAAAATCGTAAGATTCTACTCAAAACGTATAAATTAATTATTTTAACAAGTTTTATAGTAATCATCAAGAATATGTATCAAAATGCTAAAAAAACCACCACTTGTTTTTCAAAATATAAATGTTCAAATTTTAACACTCTACGCGTTCAAACTTCAAAGTTAACACTTACAAATACATAGGCAAATTAGAGAATCCAATGTTCAATATCACCATAGACCACAAATGTTTATGAATACCTGGACAATAAAAAACTAAATAATCATCATCCAAGTAATTATCCAAGTCTTCTGTCAGCTAATCATCCAAATTTTCTTCAAAAAGGGACCAGATACAACCCATCATAGCATGAACTTTCTCATAGAAATAAAATGGACACACATATAACTAAATCAAATGTGCCAGAATTCTCAGAAATTGTTGAAGTGAGGCTTTAAAGATACAACAAAGAACAATCTTTAAGAGATCAGGTTGGATTAATAACCTTACCACAACCTGCAGGTCTAATGAACAATCTGTTTGTTTGTTTTTTTCCTGTGAACCCTTTATTTCTTAGAGTCAGCTGGAAATGGAGGTAAAGACAAAATCAAAGGCCCGGAAGACTCCGACAACTGCAACTAAAGCGTATGAGGCGCACCAAACAACAGCCGCAAACAACAAGCTCATTGCATCAGTGAAGCCCATAGAGAAGTCCGACCAAGTAAAAACATTACTACGCCGCCTTGAATAACCGAACATCAAGAATTAGATAGAGTGTACTATTGTCGGCCGGCGAGGGATGGAGGTGAAGAAGTCGCGATTCGCAACGGAAGAGTAGAGGCCAGAGGGAATTACGTGAAAATGAAATTAGGGATTTTAGAATTTTTTGGATATTTTTAAGATTTTTTTTAATTAATTTGTTTTGGATTGGGCCAAGGGAAGGGATTATTTATGCTTCTTTGGGCCAATTTGTGTAAAAAGAAAATCCAAAGAAACGGTCCAAGTGCCCAAATGCAGCCCAATTTCAAAATCTGGTTCATTTTTTGAGTTTTGCACAGAATCGGTCAAAGTCGTAGAATCGGTCCGATTCTACGACTTTGACCGATTCTACCGATTCTGCAGTGACTCCACATTCCTTTGCGATTTTGAGCGACTTAGAATCGATATTGTGACTTTGAGTCGTAGAATCGGCGATTCTACGACTCAAGCCGATTCTACGACTCAAAGTCGCGATTTTGATAACCTTGTTAGAGACTAATATGAAAAGCAAAGATGATCTTTTCGTCACAAATCCCACAACAGGGCAAATCGTTCTTCTCCCTCCATGTGTTGGTAAAGTTTCACAAGTAAGATATGCAATACGCCAATCCCACAACAGGGCAAATCGTTCTTCTCCCTCCATGTGTTGGTAAAGTTTCACAAGTAAGATATGCAATGGCGTACTCACCGGCTTCCATGGAGTATAAAGTGGTTATATTCTATCCTCCTGCAGCTGGGGTTGATAAAATGGAGGAATGTTGATTTGGGACTCGTATCATCAAGGGAGGCAATTACTGCCTTCTTCAATATTCTTCCGTTGGTTACTGAAGGTTTCATTCATTGGGACCATCCCTATACCCACCATCTCTTGACTCTTAATGTGGATACCGAAACTATTACAGAGACTCCCGCACCTCTCCCGACTATAGGGAGTCGAAGAAATGTTTACTTATCAACTGGAAAATATCTCTCGTTATTGAGTCATTACGGGGAGTGCTTGTGGCAGGTCTGGGAGATGAGTCGACCTGAAACAGGGGAATGGAGAAAGAAGGCCCATTTTCGTTGGAGGCTCACAAGGAAAGATTCAAGCTATCAGGTGTCGTTCCCAAAGAGTTTTTGTTCCCGGTAGGCTGGGTCAAGTACCCAGAGTTGTTGGCCATGAGAGCTATGGATAAAGCTAAAATGGCTGCAGTTTTTCTATACAATCTTGTCACGCAAGAAATCGATGAAACCGGGTTACCTACCTATATTGGTTCTTACAGAATTTCGGTACATAAGAGTAGTTTGGAGTGGTTGGATGCAGTCAAGCCTACTCGACTGGTAACTAAATGATTATACTCTGTGTCAGACCTTTTTAATGTGGTCGAATATCTATTATTGGGGAAGAATTTAGAATTTATGCTATGAAAACTTTCGTTTCTTTTACCTTTTGTTAATGTTGGCATTATGATAAAAAGGGGGAACTCTTCTTTTGTTTTTGGATTCAAATTTGAGGATATTTTTCTGGCCAGTCTCAACACAATGAACTTTGATTCCCTTAATTATCAAATTAATATATTTCTCATCTCTAAATATTAGGTGGGGTGCTCGATCGTTAACTGAGGGGGTGATTGTTTATGAAATATTTCATTCAAAATGAATTATTTTAGTTAACTAGAGTTAATTTTGAAAAAGATAGTATGGTTAATTGTTAGTGGGATTTTAAAAATATATTGAAATAATATTTAAAATAAAATGATTAAAATTGATTTGATGTAAAAGAGATAAATGATTGGAAATGATTAGAATTGATAGGTAGTTAAAATTATGTGAGTGGATGAATAGTGAATTAAAGTTGATCAGATGTGTAAGAATGATTGGTTTGTATTATTTAATTATTTGAATAATATTAAAGATAATGGGGTTGTGTTAAAGTTGAGTTAGATTTTGAGTATGAATTAGATTGAAAATGAAATAATTTGTAAACAAGCATGCCCTGAATATTTCGGTTTGGCAAAAAATGATACTCTAAACCGAATCAGAGAATGGTTTCAAACCATTTTTTTTTTCCGTTGGATCAGTTCAATTATAGGTTTATAGGTTTAGTGAAAAGGTTAAGGTCTTGTTTGTTTATTGGCTTTTTGCCTTATTAGCGTTTTTGATACCATTAGGGGGTGATTGTTTATGCATTGTACAGTAAAAAAACTAATTCAAACTCAAATTTAACATAACTTTAACTCAACTCCATTATTTTCAATATTATTAATATAATAAAATAATATCAATCTATCATTTTTATACATCACATCAACTTTAATTTACTATTCATCCACTCACATAATTTTAACTAACTATCACTTCCAATCATTTTCTCTTACTTTTACATCAAATCAACTTTAATTATTTTATTTTAAATACTATTTTAATATATCCACTAACAACTAACCATACCACTTTTTTCTCAAACTTAACTATAGTTAAAAAAAAAACTAGATTTTTACTAGTTGAATTCATATCCAATCACCCCCTTGGCGTTTTGACTTTTTTAATCCAACCAAAAAAGACGTTTGGTAAATAGACAAAAAAAAAAATTAAAGTCATAATTGCCCTTTTCTCTTTCATGGCATCACCGCAACTTCTCAAAACAAATAAAAGGCTTGTTTGGAAACACTTATTGAGAAGTCCATCTCAAGATGAACTTTTTGCAAAGTGACTTCTCAAGAAGTTTTCAATATAAACTCCTTTGAAATGGACTTTTTGTGAGAGTTATTTTTTTAAAAGTCCATAATCTACACCAAACATCTTCTTATATAGTAAATGGACTTTTATAGTTAAAAGTCCATTACAAAAGTGCATCCAAAAATACACAAAAACTCTATCCTTACAACTTCTGCAAATTGAAAAAGAAAAACAAAGAGGGAAAAGTCACAGGCTTGGGAGACGGCGACCGAAGCTCTATCACGAGAGGATATTTAGGTGTAAATTAAACATAAAAAAATAAATGGGATTGAAAGTGTTCTAATTTTCTGGCCCGTCTCAACACAACGAACTTTCATTCCATGAATTATCAAATAAATATATTCCCCATCTCTAAATATTTGATGGAGTGCTCAATCGTTAGTTGAAATTTTGGTTTAACAAAGTATGAAATTGTAAATCGAACCAGGATTGGTTCGAATGGTTTCAGAATTTTTTTTTTTTTTGGATTGGATCAGTTCGACTATAGGTTAAGTCAAACTGACGTAGTGAAAGAGATTCTACACAAAAGAGATTTGATAGATTAAGTCAAATTGACAAAAGCGCAAAAGATATTTGAGAGAAAACCCTCGAATATATTTGAACTATAACGATTTTCGCGCATCACCATATAATTTTTTTTTTTTAACAACTACCACCTAAATTATACGGGTTTGTCAAATTGCTCCATAAACCAGATAGAAAAGTGGTTTGCACTAAAAAAAGGTGAATTTAGAGGCTATTTAAGTATATTTCCAAAAGAACGAAAAATGAAAAAATGAAGAAAGAAAACAACAGCGTAGGTGGCAGTGGGCTCCTACGATGTCGGTGATGCCGTCAACGACCACGTAGGTGGTGGCGGGTTCCTAAGATGTCGGCGATGCAGTCGGCGACCGCGTATGTTGCGACGGGCTCCGCGAAGAAGTTGAAGTGGAGCAGAGAGGAGACGTCATCGAGGGAGCCGCTGCTCGAGCGCTCTCTGGCAGCCTTGAGGATCTCGATGCTGAGGGCGGCAAGGACGTGCCGCGGGACATGGGGGAGGAGGAAGGCCGTCGCCACCGCAACCTGGTTGCTAGAGGTGGCGGCCCTCGACCCCATCTAGGCTGAGCTAGTTTCGAGTCATTGACCCCATTTTTTGGGTCGCGACCAGATTAGAAAAGGCCGAGCCTTTTCTCGCGGTCAATGGAGAAATTTGATCGTTCTTGTACAGGCAGGTCAGCGGGCCCGCCAATGAAAGGCGGCGTAGGGGTCGAGCGATTTTAAGGCCAGGTCCGCAGCGGAGGGGTTGGAGAGGGGCCTGCTCGCGAGGTGGCGGGAAGGTGGGTTCTTGGCGGCGGTCATGTGCATGTGCAATGCGGATCGAGTAGTCATGACGGTCGTCGTCGTCCCCCTCGCTGCAAAATACGGGTGGTCGAGCTCATTCTTCTCATTGTCCATGTAAGAAAGCAAAAGGGATTATATTTAGTATTTATGCTTTTTTCATTTTATTGATCTTTAAAAATAGCTGACATTTGACTTGGCACGTTGACAATTGAAATTCAATAATACTTTAATTCATGACTTATATGAAAAAGCCATTCATTTTTTTCTTTTTATTTCGTCATCTGCAGGAGGCGCGGTCGAGGCCGCTGGCGGCTCCAATGGTGTAGCCAAGCACATCTCCAATGGCGATGAAGAAGGTCAAGAGTCAACTCCAGAGCGTAGATGAATGCTCTCGAGTGTACACCTCCTTCATTTTTCTTTTTTTATTTTATTCTATTTTGTGGTTTTGAAACGACCTTCTTCATTTTTTTCATTTTTCTTTTTTCTTTCTAAATTTATATAAATTTACTGAAATGCTATACAGAATAACCATTTTTTAGTCAAAATCACTTTTATATCCGGTTTAGGAGAAATTTGACAATCCCGTATAGTTCAAGTGGTGGTTTATAAAAAAAAGTTTATATGGTGATGCGCAAAAATCGTTATAGTTCGGATGGGAAAATTTTTTATTACCAAACAAATTCCTACTAACCATAAACTTTCTTATCAAATGAAAGGAATAATTAAATAAACTTCCCTACTAAGTAATTAAATAAACTTCCCTACTAACCACAAACAAATTCCTGCTATACAGAATAATTAAATAACTTCCCTACTAAGTAATGAACTAAATGATAACAATAAAATAAAAGGAATAAATAATTAAACTGAAGATGACAGATGTCATGCTCGTCTAACGCAATCTCATCTCCATCATTCTCCCCCCTCATCTAGTTTCCCATTACTCTGGTCGAATGAGCATAACTTGATCTAATAGTGAAATGCGTCTTCTGGCTATTTCCGTCAACCTGCCACTGACGTTATAATTTGAATAAATCCTCGTCCACCAAATAGTCACCAAATATCCTTAGTGACCACCTAATAACCTCCAAATGAGCATCGAGAGACCGCACTGAGGTCGAAAATCAAATGACGTTTCACTGAGGTCGAAACCCAAAGGGCCTGTCAATGAGGTAGAGAATTAAACGACCACTGAGGTCGAAAACTGAAAGACCTGCCACTGAGGTAAAAAATCGAATGACCTTCCACTGAGGTCGAAAATCGAATGACCTGACGTCGGGGTCAAAAATCGAGCCACTGAGTCGAACACCGAAGATCGAATGACCACTGAGGTCGAAAACTAAGTGACCCGCCATTGGGGTCGAAAATCAAAAACCGAATGACCCGCCACTGGAGTTGAACACCGAAGGCTGAATGACCACTGAGGTCGAAAATCGAGTGAGCCGCAACTAGGGTCAAAAATTGAAAACCGAGTGACCACTGAGATAAAAAATCGAGTGACCCGCCACTGAATCGAAAACCGAGTGACCCACCACTGGGGTCGAACACCAAAGACTGAATGACCACTGAGGTCGAAAACTGAGTGACCCACTGGGGTTAAAAACCAAAAAACCGAATGACCACTGAGATCGAAAATCGAGTGACCCTCCACTAGGTTGAAAAATGAAAACTGAATGACCACTAAGGTTGAAAGTCGAGTGACCCACCACTAGGGTCGAACACCAAAAGCCGAACGACCACTGAGGTCGAAAATCAAGTGACCCTCCATTGGGTCGAAAACTAAATGACCGCCGTTGAGGTTGATGACCGAATGACCTTTCATTGAGGTCGAAAACCAAATGATTGCCGATGAGGTCGAAAACCGAATGACCACTCCCCGGAGTTTTGAATTTGAAAATTTGTACTTACGTCTGTTGTTTTTCGACCACCTCGTCCTGTCGCCCCTCAGTTCAAAATTTAAAATTCAACCCTGTCGTTTCCACTTTCGAAAATCGAATGTCTTGACGCCACCTTCATGTCGAAAGACCGAAATCGAAAAAACCAAACCCAATAAAACCATAGACTTGAATAACATAACTCTGTGAACTGCTCCAAGTGGATTCCGTCGACCTGCCACTGAGGTCGAAAACAAATTCGTTAAAACCAAAGTCAAGTAAAAAACCATCGACCTGCCTCTGAGGTCAGCCAATAGTCTCCATGAATTGCACCAAATGAACTCCATCAACCTGCCACTGAGGTCAAAAAATAAGTTCGACAAAATCAAAATCAAGTAAAAAACCCATCGATCGGCCTCCGAGGTCAGCCAATAGTCGCCCCATCGACCTACCACTGAGGTCGAATTGAAAAAAAAAAAATCGACAAAACCAAAATCAAGTAAAAAATCATTGACCTGCCTCCGAGGTCTCCGATAAGCTATGCGAATTGCTCCAAATGAGCTCCATCGACCTATCACTGAGGTCGAAAAATAGCATGATTTATTCTTGTACGAGGATCTTTTTCGAGTACATTTAATACACATATAAAACAGCTCGACTCCGTAAAAAACTGACTTCTGGTACTTGAACCCGACTTCAAGATAATAAAAATCATACCAATTTATAGCTTTATATTCGTTTAATCCCTGTGATAACAGTTGTTAAATTACGTGTAACAACACGGGTTATACGATATATCTGGGGTCGAAGTAGGCCAATATTTCTATTGGAAAATAGGGGGTTTCCTAGTGTACGACCAAGTACTTATTACCTCTTGGGTAGTAATTGCTATATTATTAAGTTCAACTACTAATTTTTTTTTTCTTAAACAATTTATTGCTCTTAGGTATTTTCTTAATAAGCTAATTTACTTTAGTGGTATAACCAAACCTCTTAAAATTTCATAAATAATAATAATAATAATAATAATAACAACAACAACAACAACAACAATGATAATGATAATAATAATAATACTAATAATAATAATAATAATTTTTAAGATATTAATATATCATGATCTCTCAAATTTATAAAAGCTACTTATCCATTTCATTTTATGCAATCAATAGAGTGATGAAATTGAATACTTTTATTATGGTCATTTCTACTTATGACAAAATTTTTATAATGCGATATTATTATCGAATTATAATTATAATACTATGCACATACATATAAACTTAAAACTTTTTGAACATTTGTGCACGTGAACAAGATCGAATCCTTGTATCTTTTAAAATCATAAATAATTTTTAATTGACATAGCAATTAAGGGCTTGCTCATCACAAATATTGCAAATAGCAATTACGGGTGGGTGGCATGAACTTTTCCGGCTCCATATATTCCTTAACAGAAGACTAGATTCTACATATCCTTGGATCCTTCTTCTTCCTTTTCCTCCGAAGGGATGGCGAATTTATTTACGTTTCCTCCGACGATGAAGGAAGGGATGGTGAATTCATTTATTACTTTTCCTCCGACGATGAAATCTCTACCCAAGTTTGATATCCCACCATCAGAAGTGCTCCAGCCACCGCCTCCTCGACGGCCAGGTAAAGAAGAATGGAATACGGAGGTTGCACCCTTCAAATTCCTGGCTCCACCAATTGACCAGGTTAGGTTTAGGTTACATATATGTAGAATCTCTATTCGTTCTATTAATTTGCAGTATTTCGATATAATTTTTTTAGGTTTAAAGTTATCCCCAATTTTGTTTTTTCCTCTATTGATGAAACATTGGAAGAACAATATGCAGATTATCAGTGGGGAAACAATCCTCCGGACTTACCACCAGAGGAGGTGTAAAAGAAATAGGCTAAAAACAGCCATAGAATCTCTACCTGATGAGCTGTTATTTGAAGTCCTTGTGCGAATCCCAGGCCAGCAAGATATTTACAAGGCAAGGCTTGTTTGCCGCAAATGGTACCATATAATCCACACCCGCAATTTCATGTCCGCCTACTTACACCACTCCACTTATGGTCTCCTCTTCAAATCCTTTCATTGGGGGTCACTTTTAATCCTCCCTCAAAGGGGAGGAGGGGTCGAGATAACTCGGTTGAGGTACAATCGTGTGTGCACTAGTAGTTGTAATGGATTGTGGTTAGAGACTAATATACAAAACAGACATAAACTTTACGTCACAAATCCCACAACAGGGCAAATTGTTTGTCTCCCTCCATGTGTTGGTGAATTTTCACTAGTAAGATATGCAATGGCGTACGCACCGACTTCCATGGAGTATAAAGTGTTTATATTCTATTCTCCTACTGCAGGAACAACCTCTCGCGCGTTCTGTCATATATTAACCGCTGGAATTGATAAAACATGGAGAGACGTTGATTTGGGACCCATATCATGTGAGGAGGCACTTAAGGCATTCTACAAAATTCCATTGATTAGTGAAGGTTTCATTCATTTGAACCATCCCTATACCCACCATCTCTTGACACTTAATGTGGAGACCGAAACTATTACAGAGACTCCCGCCCCTCTACCGACTCTTGGGAGTTTAAAAAATATTTACTTATCAACCGGAAAATATCTGACGTTATTGAGTCATTACGAGGAGTGCTCATGGCAGGTTTGGGAGATGAGTGGACCCGAAACAGGTGAATGGAGAAAGAAGGCTGATTTTTCGTTAGAGGTTCACAAGGAAAGATTCAACCTGTTAGGTTTCATACCCGAAGATTTTTTGATCCCGGTAGGCTGGGTAAAGTACCCAGAGTTGTTGGCCATGAGAGCTTGGCATACAACTAAAAGTACTGCAGTTTTTCTATACAATCTTGTCACGCAAG